ATAACTATTTTGTGTATTATCATGCTAATGGGTTTCAATTTTTAAATTAATAAATTGATGAAAATTATATCCAGACTTTACAAAGCCAGTTAATTATTTGATATGTTTAATAATACTAACTATATTTATAATGTTAATAAGAAAGAAAGTATAATTGATGTTTAAGTTAATGACAAAATTATTTTTACATTGAATTCAAATATAGAAACAAAATTTTATAGTTTTCATTTTATTCAAATAACTAAATAATATAAAATAGTTTAGTTAATAATCATATTGACTGTATTGATGCAAAACTATAAATAAAAAAATTGAATATTGGTCAACTGTTCTTCTGATTCTTTTTCTAAATTGGGTTATTTAGAAAATTAAGAATTATAAGATTAATATTAATAATTGAATATAATAATAAGTATCATATGAAAACTTCTCAAATAAATTTTTGAGTGTTTAAAGAAAGTATCAGTAAAGTTCATGATTTGAAATTTGATTTAAAATATTCACGTTCATATTTTTTTAACAATATCATAAATAAATTGAAAAAATAATCATATAAAATTCAACTATATTCATATGATACGTCTTATGATTACAGTTATAATCTTAAGTAGGTTTAACCAATATAAGATTATTTATATTATTTGAAACTTTAAATCCATATTATTATTTGATAGCGACTTTTAGAAAAATAGAAAAAGGCAAATATAATATCTATAAAAAGTAATTAGTCAATCTCAATAATTAACCAAAATAATTTATAATTAGAAGTATAAATATGTAATCATATAATCAAAAGGGTGAGGAAATCACAAAGCTTTTGAGTTTTATTTCATTAAAATAGAATGAAATTAATTTATTTGTCTCTATCAATTTTATGAGTATTAGAGTTTAATTATTATGAATGTATTTTTCCTTTCAATATTTTTATTTTGATATACCTATTTCATTTTTCTTAAAAAATCATTAAAGTAGTATGATATTTAATTTTTCAAAATATCATGTTGTCTTTACAATTAAGAATAAAAAACTATTGTATTTCATATCTATCAATTAGAATGATGATCTAAAAACAGCGAATATAAACAGGAGATAGATTGAATTTTTTATGATTTTTAAGATATTAATAATTATAAATAGTATATTTTAACAATTATTACTTCATTATTTTAGTTATATTAAGCAGTTTATCGGATTTAAATTGATCAAGTAAATATGTTATTAACAGAAAGTTTTAATATATGATTTTAATAGACTAAAAAAATAATATTGTATCTGTAAATTGATGCTATATCTGTTTTAATTTACTTACAATTTTAAATTAATTTTACATATTGGAAAGATAAAAATATCTATTAAAAATAATTAACGAGTTTATGATTTATAGATCAAAAGAAATTCACTTAAGTTAATGATTCTAAGCTCTCTCCAGTTGAATTTTAATAATCCATATCCAATTAAAATTTGAAAGAAGTATGATTTTAATCAACTCTATATACTTTGGTACCTAATAGAAATCTCAATGGTTACCAAATTCAGATATTTTAATTCAAAACTTGCTGTTTCAAGCACTTAAGACTGCAGAAATAATACAATTTTCAAGATTTTATCTAAATAATTCTATAGCACTATTTATATTGTAAATACCATCATCTGGGGCTCTAAATAACCATTTGCCTATTATATTATCATAATCTCAAATTACAATTACATGTAAGATTATTGGATAAAAATTAATTACTAATGTTATTTTATCGGTGTATATTTCGGGCAATGCAGGAGTTGATTTAATATAATATAAACCATTAAAATAATAAAAAATTTTAATTTAACAACTAAATTCATATATGATGAAAAACTAAGTAAACTTTCTCTTCTTACAAGACAATTATATATTTCTATATTAGAACCATTTTCTTTCTCAACTCTTAGAATAAATTTAATAAGTCTTTCATAATTGATATCAAAATAATTTAATATATGAAATAATTAATTTTTGCTTTATAATAAAAATATAATACATTTTCAGAAGAGATTAGTTAAAATAAGAAGATACTAAGGAAATTAGATTTTGAGTTCTACTATAAATGAATTTACGAATGTTTTTATTTGAATTAGATTTAGAATTTAGAGAATATAGATAAAAGAAAGAATTAACTCTTTAATTAAATTAAAAAATGGAATATCCTATTAAAAGATAGTTTATCAATAGATAATTACATCTTATTGTATATAGAATACCAATAAGTAGTTATGTAACGTTAAAATCACAATTATCAGTCTCTAATATTCCATGTAAAGGTAAAAAAAATTTTTAGTTTATTTAATTAAATATTTATTATAATATTCTATGACGCACAATCATGAATAAGAACGTGATTTAATATGTATAGATATAAAATAAAAAATTATATAAAAAATAAGTAGATGAATACATAAGTTTTTTTTAGAATTTATTGCAAAACTCAGTTTTCTTAGCATGTCAAAGTTGTTGGAAATGAACCTTAATTGGGAAATTGGAATCCATCGAAAGGGTTATAGCTGCTCACTAATGAGAGCATGTACCCCATATGGTTTACTGACTATCCATTAGAACTTCTTGCATGTATATAAAAATAACAATTTATAACTAGATTCAAAGTTAGAATTTAAAGTGGTAATTATTGATGACTAAAATTGTTATTGGGAATGTTGTCCCAATAGAGAGATGAATGTATAAAGTTTGAAATAAATTGTCATCGTAAATTATGACAATCCTTCCATTTAAGTTCTTGGAATTAAATCTTTAGTTTCAGAAGTTGAACTTCCAAACATAGAGTAAAGTAATTATGAATTTCAAGATAATAGATCGTGCAAGAAAAGTATCCATTCAAGTTTAAGATTATATGTCTTATACAGATTCTGATTCAGTAAGTTTATTAAGTCAATTCTTTATAGGAAGACTAAAACAGCAAGAAATCATAGTTAACTAACGATAATTCACTTTTTCCATCTATAGAGTCTTTTAATAGTTGTCTACTGCCCAATGAAGATCTACAATAAGATCGAATAGATATGGATTGAAATAATATTCATCTTATATGAATACTCTTACTATTAAAATTAAGTTATTTAAATATATAAAAGTTATTGTTTGATTCATATTATCAAGAGCAAACTTCTTGTGTGAAAATAACAATTATCGATACTTAAAAGAAAGTTGTCTTATTAATAAAAAGATAATTGATATAAACAGCCATAATTAATTGCAATTAAAGTTGAATCTTAATATAAAAATTATTTAACCATTAAATTTGTAAAATTCTTATTCAGATGTCAATCTAGATAAACTTCAAAGTTAGATGTGAAACCTAGCTTCATCAACAATTATATATTGTTGGTGATATCAAACTTTTAGGGGAATGGAATCCATTCAAAGGTCTAAAGTTAAATACGTATTAAGAAATCTACCCTTGTTGGACAGGAACAATAATTGGAGATTTTGAACCAAGTATTTTGTTTTATAATAGTAAGATTGTCTTATTTTGTTCAAAGCTGTAATTATTGGGTTAGAAAATATTATTTGGGAATAAAACGAAAATAGGGCACTTTAAATAAAATACTAATCTTAGAGTGTGATATTTACATTTGATTCTCATGATGCATAATTATTGAAAATAAAATCCTTTTTCGATAATCATCAAGAATTTGCAGAAGAAACTGCTAATTTTTGTAATAAATAAAATTATTAACAATAGTTGGTGCCAGAAGAAGATATTTAAAGAAGGTTTTTAGTCCATTAGATTTTGAATATGCTAGTTCTGTAAAATAAGAAAATACTTAAATTTTAGGATTCAGATTCTGAGCATAGCAATATTTCTTCTTTATTTAATTCAAGTGTAAACTCAAAAAACTCTAGTTATCGTCACTTAGATAATCCTTAATAATCAGAATTAAATTTCTTATTTAATTATCAAAATTGATTAGCATATTATGAATTTTTTCTGAATTTAATTTCTTAATCCTAAAGAATATTATATATTTAACTAATTAATTAATTTATCTGAACTATAATTTTTGATATAAATCGTTTATATTAATTCTGAAAAACAAATTCTCTTTTCTTACTGATAAATATTTTGATATCTTGGTCCTTAAATTAATGTAGAAATTTTAAAAATTAATATTCATAATATTTATTCGCTTTAATATAGTATTACATTAGTGTAGAATATAATTCATTAGATATAATAATTTAGAAATAAAAATTCTAATTTTCATTCAAATATTTGATTAGAGATTTATAAAAGAATCATTTCATTATTATTATCCTTATAAATTAATATTTCCATATATTACCATCCAAAATATTCAATTTAAATATGGTAATAAAATCTAAATTCATTTTTTTGAAGTTATTTTAGAATCCAAGAATTAACCTTAAAAATAGAATAGAGTAAAATGGATTTTAAAAAAATCGTTAAATGAATATTTATAAAGTTCAACTTGATTAAAAATGATTTAAAACCCATCCAATAGATTTCCTATTTTTTTATCAGTTTAAGTCCCTTCCTCAGATCTTAGACATCTTCTGATAATTAATTACTTAAGAACTTATAATTAAACTTCTCCTATATTTAATTCATTAATTAATTCAAAAGTAACAAATAGTAAAGACCTAAAGTTGGTAGTATTGGCATATTTTTAACGATTTCTTTATGTTTTCATTTTATTTTATTTAAAAAATTTTATTTATATAATGTTTTGTTGTTTAGGTAGAAAAAAATGGGATAATGAGATAGAAAAAGCTAATAAAAAAAAGGAAATGGTAGAAAGATTCATACTACAAAATTGTAAATCTAATGATTAGGTAATAATTAAATTTGATATTGAGGATTCATTGGATGAAACAATTGATAAAAGTAATATTATTATAATTGATTATGATAATAATAAGTATGAAAAGAAACCATGGTCAGGAATTGAATGGCAAATGATTATACAAACCAAGAATTTTAACTAAATTGAATTGTAAATTTGACTCACTAATTTGAGAGATGAATTAAAAAGAAATATAAGATTTGGGATTTTATCTAATTTAAGACCCGCTACCTGGTTTTGGATGACGGATATAAAAAATACTTAAATGAAAAAACATACTTCAAACATATATTAAAAACTAAAATCTTGCGAGTCTTAATATGATTCGCAAATATTTAAGTGTATCAAGCAATTAGATAAAAAAGTACATTTAATCTAACTTTAAGTACAATGATTTGATTTTTGATATCTTAAGAGCTTATGCTAACTACGATGTAGAAGTTGGATTTATTAAAGGGATTGATCAAATAGTTGAATATTTAGTATAATAATTGAATCCATAACAATATATTAATATTGATTACTCTTTCAATTAATTCAATAGAATGTGTGATTTTTATGAATAAATGGTTTTTTGGATGACTACTCACATATTATTCCATTTGAATTACAGAAGAATTTTAAAATAAAATGTGAGTTTTATAGAAACAGAAAAGTTTCAAAACACTCTTATGCCTTCAATCAAACGCTTGGTTGAATAAATTAACATTTAAATAAGTAAATTAATAGAAGTGCCTTTGTTATTTTACTTTCAAAAACAACTAAAAAAAGAAGATTTTAATAAATTATTTGATGTCTTTCTTTTTGAAGGAGAATGTAATTCTATTATTTAATTTAGCAATATTACTGTAAATATTATTGAAATTCTTAAAAATATCAGAAGATTTGATCTGTTAATTTTAAACAGAAGAAGATTTATAAATATTCTTAAATTAAACTTTAATTCCATATGGGATTTCAAAGATAGAAAAGACGAATTAAAAATTAATGAATTTTCTATTTTGAATTATGAATTTTAGTTATCTTAAATTAGTAATTTCTTTAAATGCTCCATGTGATTTCTTTGCCTGCAATCAAATTATTAATATCATAAGTTGTCTAAAATAGTAGTATTCTAAATTTATTAGAATTTGTATACAAAACTTTTGCATTGATTCAAACTTTAATCACTTAATTATTAGATATGATACTATGATCATTTAACATATCTCTTCCCAATTTTATTTCTTCTCTTACTTTATCTGCTATCCTTGATTTTATGCTGGAAATCCTGATAGTAACTTTACCTTCAGCAGCTAACTTTGATAATCTCACAACCATTAAAAAATAAGAGTTAAATATTTTTGCTAAATGTTTTCAAATTTTCCATTTTATTGAACATTCATAAATCTTAAGGTTATCCTTGGAACTTTATTTCTAATCCATCTTTTATCTTTATTTAAAATTAAAACTTATGTTCATTTGCAATTTAACAAGAATCATCCAAACATATTCAATATCTCTATTTTGTTTAATTACTTCTGCTTTTATGCCATTGGCTTGTTACAAACATCTTCGATGAATAATTGAATACTAATTTTTAATATCTAACCAAGTTTTATTAAATTGCAATAAACTCATGAACTATCAAAATTTATTTTAAGAATTTCTACACAAATGCTTCTTTAGCGTAAAAAACTAATTTATCATTTTGTAATAATTTAATTATTTAAGTTTTTTGAGAATAATATTAAAATATTTCGCTTAAAATGAATCCATAATTTTTCCTAATAAGCATTACAATTTAAGCTTTGATTAGATTAAATTAGTTTTATTATTTGATACTAATAATCNAAATTAATAGAAGTGCCTTTGTTATTTTACTTTCAAAAACAACTAAAAAAAGAAGATTTTAATAAATTATTTGATGTCTTTCTTTTTGAAGGAGAATGTAATTCTATTATTTAATTTAGCAATATTACTGTAAATATTATTGAAATTCTTAAAAATATCAGAAGATTTGATCTGTTAATTTTAAACAGAAGAAGATTTATAAATATTCTTAAATTAAACTTTAATTCCATATGGGATTTCAAAGATAGAAAAGACGAATTAAAAATTAATGAATTTTCTATTTTGAATTATGAATTTTAGTTATCTTAAATTAGTAATTTCTTTAAATGCTCCATGTGATTTCTTTGCCTGCAATCAAATTATTAATATCATAAGTTGTCTAAAATAGTAGTATTCTAAATTTATTAGAATTTGTATACAAAACTTTTGCATTGATTCAAACTTTAATCACTTAATTATTAGATATGATACTATGATCATTTAACATATCTCTTCCCAATTTTATTTCTTCTCTTACTTTATCTGCTATCCTTGATTTTATGCTGGAAATCCTGATAGTAACTTTACCTTCAGCAGCTAACTTTGATAATCTCACAACCATTAAAAAATAAGAGTTAAATATTTTTGCTAAATGTTTTCAAATTTTCCATTTTATTGAACATTCATAAATCTTAAGGTTATCCTTGGAACTTTATTTCTAATCCATCTTTTATCTTTATTTAAAATTAAAACTTATGTTCATTTGCAATTTAACAAGAATCATCCAAACATATTCAATATCTCTATTTTGTTTAATTACTTCTGCTTTTATGCCATTGGCTTGTTACAAACATCTTCGATGAATAATTGAATACTAATTTTTAATATCTAACCAAGTTTTATTAAATTGCAATAAACTCATGAACTATCAAAATTTATTTTAAGAATTTCTACACAAATGCTTCTTTAGCGTAAAAAACTAATTTATCATTTTGTAATAATTTAATTATTTAAGTTTTTTGAGAATAATATTAAAATATTTCGCTTAAAATGAATCCATAATTTTTCCTAATAAGCATTACAATTTAAGCTTTGATTAGATTAAATTAGTTTTATTATTTGATACTAATAATCAGAGTATAATTTAATATTTTGAAAATAAGTAGAAATATGTCACATTTTATATTAATACTAACTTTGATTAATTTTAATGTATTAAAAAACAAGTTATTTTCATGATAATAATACAACACAGATAATGATATTTTAATTTTTGTTACATTTGCATTTTATATTTGAATAAATTATTAACTAATATTTTACTATCATAAATTTATTTAATTCTTCAAGTAAATCCCCTGGAGTTTCAAAATATGATAAATCCATATTAAATTGGCATTTTCATCGAATTAGATGATATTAGATGTGAGCTTAATATATCGAATTAAATGCAATTATAATCTCTGAAATTTGTATTATTTATATAGTTAATTAAATCTTTTGTTGTCAAGATGGACTTGCTTAAAGGCGGATTTTAAGGTGATAATTCTGATGGAGATAGCTTAAGATAATCTTGGACTACTGAAGATAGTCTAAGTAGAACTTCAAGCTATGATGCCACTGAAGAAGTTAATGATCTAGAGGAAAGAATCTGTCAATACTTAAATGATTTAAACATCTAATCATTTACAAATCCAACTCTCAAAGAAGAAATGTACAACCTTTAATTGAAACAAAAATTAGTAATTTTTTAAAATATATCTGTAGTTTTCAAAAATTATCTCATTATCTAATACCAATAACAGTACTCTCATGAAAAAACGTTCGCTACTCTTTGCAGACTGAATATTGCCATTTTTCCCATACTATTCACTTTATTTCTATTTAAATAAAATATTTAAACATAATTCTTATTTTTTTTCTGATAAAACCATTCATAATACTTTCAAATTCACACATAAATTTATACTTCTCTTTATGAATGTTAATTATAAATATGAACTCAAAAATATTGTTATTATGTTATTGACTTATTCTATAGTCGTTACCAAATATTGCCGCTTTTCTATAATCAAAATATTCTAAAATAGTGCCCCTTTTTCTTTTGAATTAATTAATATTTCATTACTATCTACTTTTCAAAACTCTGATAATGATATTTAACAAGATTATTGATGATCTTATTGATAAAAAATAAACAAATATTTTTGTTAGAATTTTAAAATTATTTTTGGGTTCCAAAAAGCTTAGTTCAAAAATCATATGAATAAGTTATAAAAATGATATAATAAAGAAAATATCCAACCATATATGTATTTAAAAAAAAGGTAATAGATTAATCACTTAAAAAACTATATAATTATTTAGAGCAAATAAATAATATTATTTTTTTCCAAATTTGACCTATAATTTTAATAAATTTTGTAAATATTTAATAAAAACAAAAATATGTGATATATTTCTAAAGACCAACTAAATTTTTTTTTCAAAAAGTCCTGAATTGCAATCTCTAATACTGGTTAATATAATAAATGAATCAAATATGAAATTAATAATGGTTTTTTAGGGGAACACTCTAAGAATACAACTCAAAATGATGAGAATTTAGTAAGTTAATTTAAGTTTTATTAATAAATGAAATACTGAATAAAATAAACTATCATTATTTCTTTTGTAATTTAAAGAGTTTAATTTGATAATTATATTTTCTATGTTTTCAATACATTTGTTAAAAATAGATTATGTATACTGAAATTAAATTTATAAATATATTGTATTTCTTATCAGTATATCAATCTCACCATGGGCCTATTTTGGTTCCGAGCATTGATACAATACTTTAATTTTTAGGGTTTGAATATCTTCTTGACTATTATACCGAATACGATTTTTTTTCTCTGCATGAGAGAATTGGTTAAGTAATTTTCTTTACTACAGGCAATGATTATCTTATTATTAGACTATTATAAATAGTCATATCATTAAGATTATCTTTTTTAACTTTTTTATGTGATTGATGTTTTAATATCAAATTTAATAATTATAATGATTTATTTCTAGCAATAATGGATTTATTCTTATTTATTACTTCTTTAGAAATAGTTGATATGAATTTGTTATTTTAGAAAAGTTTACAAAAAGATTCACTATTTGTTTCCTGATACACAATATTCTATAAATGAATTGGTTATTATTATCTTTGAATTTACAATTTACAAGTCTTTTTTTGGTTTTACATATTCCAATTTAATTAAAATAATATTTAATTATATATAATATAACTTAAAAGAAAGAATTTTATCCTAATATTTTTGGCATCCTAATGAGAAAATTTAGTTAAACTTTTCATCACTTATAAACGAAATAATTTATAAATATTGCTCATTTTTCATATTTATTAATTTTATAATCTAGTTTCTACAGATGAAATAGTTTAGAATGACATATAAATTAACTTTATTTGATTAGTTAAAATTTTTAAAAGATTATATTACTGGATAGTTTTAAAGGCTTCAAAAATATTAGCAAGTAAAAAAGATTCATACTGATAAATGTATGAAGATGATTATACAAAAATTAATTTTATAAAATAATTTCATTTATGTTATATGTTATATTCTTAAAAAGTATATTTGATTTATTTTCAGATATTTATTTATTTAATTTTATTTAGTTAGTTTTTGTTCTGAAATAGCCTAAATTTATAAGCTGAAAGTATATATAAATAAGAAATAAATAAATTTTTACTATTAAAATTTTAATAATTTTATAAATTCCACCACTAATTAGAAGTTGTTTAATTATTCTTGGTAATTATTAGAATTTAAATTAACTTCTCGATATTCTTTAAATTATAACTGAAAATAAAAATCTAATACTCTAAATCTTTTTATCAAATAGTTTCTCTTTTATAAACTATGTATATAAATTATCTAATTTATCATGGGTATCAATTAGTATATCATTATTGTATTAAATTATTATGAAGAGGTTTTATCTTTTGTAACTAATTTTTGTTATCTATTCAAAAGAATATGAATTCAAATAGTGTATTAGAAAATAAAATGTATGGTCCTAAATAATTACAACTACATTCATTTTTTCAATAATTAGAGCATTTAGCTCCCTTTTGCTCTACAGAATTGGCTAATATCTTTTAATTAATTATGCTTAAAGATAAACTTAAATATTTACTGATTTATTTATTTAGTATAAGTAAACAATTTTTAAATGATTAATTTAATTTATAATCAGTAAGGCAAATTTTATGTTTGAATTCCAAGTTCAATTTTGATTTAAGGTAATAGACCTGACTTTATTTTTCTTTCTTTTAGCTCAAATAAAAAAATTATTATCATTGATATTTACAACAACTTAGTTTTATCCTTTTTAACTCAATTAAATAAATCTATGTGCAAAATATTGGCTCTTCTAACTTAAGATATTAAGTTTGCTAAAACAATAATTCTGATTTTAATGGATTCTATAATAATTTTCACTATAGCCAACAATTCAAATAAATATTCAATCCATAATTTAACTCATCAACTCTCGAAATTAAAAAAATTTTCATTTATTTATAAAATTAAAAAAAAATGAAATATGAGATTCTAAAGTAAGATAATAAAGTCAATTTTAATAAAATGGTAAAAATTAAAGTTGAAAAAGTGTAGATTATAATCCAATAACGAACCAATTATTTAAATTCCTATTATTATCATAAGAATAATTTTATCAACAATATGTTTATAGTCTCTTTGACAGCCTTTTTGTTTCTATAAATCTACATATAATAATTTTTCTCTCTAATCTATAATAAACTTTTATAGGTATAAATATTTGAAGAACGAATTATAAGGATAAAGAAATATAATCTATAAATTATTTTAGAAATCAGAAGTCGAAAAATATTGTGGTTTACATTTTACTGATATATGTTGGCTTTTATTAATATTTTTAATAAATTCTAAACACTAGAATAAAATAAAATTAGCTTAATAAATGATTTTAAAAGCTAACATTTATTTGTAATACAGTATATTTGAAAATTCAAGAATATCAATATTTAACTATATAATTCTGTTTTCAAAATATCAAATTATTTATGCATTTATTAATATAAAATACTTTAAATAAAGTAAAGTTTTGAGTTTTTGATATTTTCATGAAAAAATTTTGCCTTTATTTGTTTAGAGTTCAGAATTTAAAAAAAAATTCAAGAACAAAAGCATATTGTTTAGTTGGGATAGGATTGTTCCAAATTTACTGTAATCTTTTTAGTTTGTAAAATATGAGATTATTTTAAGAGAAATGGAATATAGGGAATAAGAGAATAATATTAAAAGGTAAGGTAATTTGAGTGATTATTTGTAAATTCTAACATATTTTGACCCTGAGAAATTATGCCAATAAAGCTCAATAATATTAATTACGATATTAATAATCGGATTTTGCTTTCCATTTTCATATTTTTGTTTAGGAGTGATAAGCAGTAAGGAAGTAAAAAATGAGAAAATTAAATCCTCTTCTTTGAAAGTATAAATTAATGGTATAATATAGCTTTATAGTTCGTGTATCGATTTATATTACTGGTGTTTATTTTAGCCTTTTATTTAAGTATAGCTGGAAGTATTACTATTCAATCATTAAATTTTGGATTGGAATTAAATGTTAAAGTAAAACTATACAAATGTGGCTTTGATATTTTTCCTTTCTCTATTTGGGTTATTTTTAAATACATTAATGATGACATCGATATTACTTTTTTTTTATTAAAATGTCAACTTAAAGATAGATTTTCTAAGTTGCAGTAATAAGTAAATTATGTTGGATATTTTTATATTTAAAATCTTAATAGCCATACTTAATAGCATTCATATTTAATCAATCCCTCATTATGTAATAAAATTACAATTATTAGGTTTCATACCTCATTATTTTAATATTATTGACTTTGAAATTACTAGAGAATTAATTTTTAGGAAATGATAGACCATCATTTTAATATATTCAATTGAATTAATTTTATTAGCATCTAATGTTCAGTTTATTGGGTGTTCTCATAACATTTTTAATAGAATTATCAGTTTTATAACTAAATCAAGAAATCAATGATTTTTTATGCATAATTATAATATGTGTATTTTTGAATGTCTTGGGTAGCATTTTTTAAAATAAAATTGTTTATTTTTATTTGATGTAGAATGGCATTTCTGGTTAATTAATCTTGAATAAAATTTATTATTTATACTAATTAAATACTTCATCAGTGGATAAGAAATATATAATAATAGGGTTGATTGAGAAACATCTTAAAAAAGGATGTATTTCTAAATTAGAAAAAAAATAGCAAACTTTAGAATAGTAAAGAGATCCTTCATTTTATAATTCTTCAATAGGATACTGTTTTTGTTAATAAAATTAATTTTATGATGCAAGAAGAAAAATCTTTGTAAATAGTTAAACATCAAAAGTATAATATCATTATAAATCGTTCTTCAGATTTGAAATTAAATCTTTATATGAACAATGTATAATATAGAATAAAGACAATTATTAAATTAGACTATTATATGCTAAATATTTGTTTTTTTCTATTTAAAATAAATCTTAAGCTTTATTGTAGATGTCAATTTTGAAATAAAAATTTAACAAATTATCATTTTTTGAGAAGATAGACTTTCATTTATTATTACTAATGATGGAGGAAAAGATAAATATCCAAAATTCTAATAGTTACTAAAATTATCTAGATTTTGAATATGTCATAGATATAGAGATGATTTTTAAGAAAATAAAAATGAAAATAGCTGATTTAATTTAAAATTATATAAAATATTGGAATACTATGGATGAGGAAAAGATTATAGAATCAGATTTATTGAAATTAGATAATAAAATATAAAGTGGAATTTATGAATGTGAAAAAATGTGGTTAAATCTTAATAACTATAATAAAAATTATGATAATTCACAAAATGATATAAATTATATTAGTAAAAAACCATAATGGGAATTATTATATATATGGTATAAGAGATATATACTTAATTAAAAAATGAAAGGTTAAGTTATTGATTATCCTGTTATAAGTAATAATTAATAGAATTTTTGCGATGAGGATTCAGATTCAGATTATGAAAATCATTATATGTAAGCTTTTGATCCAAAAAAACTTTTTCATTCAATGACAGCTATTATTTTTGCAAAGGAAAATGGAACCATTGTCAAATTTAATGAATATACTAGATAGATCTTTGGATTATAAGGATTCATTAATATTAATTAGATTATTCCTAATTCAATGATTCGAAATCATATGTTGAGAGTTAAAGAATTCATAGAGAAAGGGAAGACAAGTTCTTTATATGCAAGAAAGAAAGTACTTATTTAATATCAAAATTCATATCTTATTCCAGCAAATAAATACTTAAAAATATCTATCAACTAATTTATGTTATTAGAATTTATAGTTATGATTAGACCTATTTAACATGAATCATCAGGCAATTATTTAGTTATTAATGAGGATTGGGAAATAGTTTAAACAACTAAACAATTAAAGAATATTTTTGAATAATAATTTAATTTATTATTGAGTTGCCCTAAATTATTGCTATATTCTAAATACAAAAATCTATTAGAAAACGAGGATTATAAGCTATTTTAAATCAAGAGTCAAAAGAAATAAAGTCTATAGAAATAAGAAAGTCTTCCAGGTGTTTTATAAAGTATCATTTGAGATATCATTAGGATAAAAGAGTTTATTAAATGATAATGTATTTGAAGAAGTAAATTAAGAGAAATAATTTACTGAACAATTCATAAAAGAAAATGAAGATGATTTAGATGAAAGATAAAGATTACTGAATTCTAATCTTCAAAATAAAAATGAACAGTATTTTTAAATTTTGATACGAATTCCAATATTATTGAAGCGAATGTAAGAAGAATATTTCAATTTAATAATTAATGCTGAAAAAGAAAATTTTAATGATTATCCAGAAGATTCCATAATGAAAAAGCAAAGTATCATAATAAGGAATGGAAGAAAGAAAATAGCTTTAAACTTTAAAATTTTAATTGAGAAGATTAAATTTTTAAAAAGAATACGTTTAATGTCTTAATTAGAAGCATATAGTATTAATTATTAATTATTAAGGATATCTTTATCGTAAATATTTTTGTAAAGCAGATCAATTAAAAAAAGTTATTAGAGTTGATGCTAAAATTAAAGTTGAAAAAAATCTATTAATAGATAAAATTTAAATAATAAAATTCAATAAATTTGAAACTTTTAATAATATTAAATCAAAAAGATAATCACTGTTGGTTAAGGCTAATGCAAAAAGAAAAATACTTTAAATTAAATCAGAACAAAAATTATAATAATGCTAAAATGAAATATCAATTGATTACACAACTAATAATGATATAAAAACTACTAAAAATGAAAACTAAGTAATATATCCTATGAAATACTTAATGGATGAAAGTTAAATGAAAAATGATTTTAGTGAATCTTAAATTCAAGATATTTCATTAAAACCTAATTAAAATTTATTTATAAAAGAAGATCATAATAAAATCAATAAAAATTTAAATAAAATTAATTATTTCAAATGGACAAATAGATATTTTATAATTGGAATGACTTTACTTACTATGTTATCATTTTCATATGGTCCAAATACAAGTTATAATGATTTGTATCTTTTAAAAGTAATTTATATAATAAAATTATTAGGCTAATTCAAGTTATACTACTGCACTTATTTCTTAAGACTTTTCATCTATTTATAATCAATTAATTGATATGGCTCTTTGTAATTAAAATGTTACATTATGTTCTAATATAATTTAATATACAACCATTTAAAATAAATAAGATCTTTTAGAATAAAATATTCAATTAGACTTATAAAATGTTAATTAGAGTTTTATCTAATTTTATTCAAGCAAATTCAACATCAAAACTATTTCTTCAATGATTCTACTACCACATGATCAAGAAGTTCATAAATAAAATATATTAGAAGATATGAAGAATTTTTAAGTTTTATTATAATAATTTATAATTACAAACTTATAAGAAATTACCTTTGAATTTTGTTATTATTAGATTTTACAATAAGATTTAATGCCAGGATTATATGAAAGTTTAAGTTAAGTGCAAATTGATCTGCTTTAATAAATATACTTAGAATTTGATTTTAGATCATTATTTTTTTTGGTTAATATGTTAACTGGTTTAATAGTTTTATGTATTTTGATAGCTATTAATTGTTTCAATTTATTTAAAATAATAGATCATTATTAAACTATGTATAGTTAGATATAATATTTTGATTAGTCTACAATTGAAAGTGTAATTAAATATTACAAATAACTTAGATAATATTTTAATTACTTTAATGAATTATAAACATATTAAACTAATAGTATAAATAATAATAATTTTTATTATAGATTACATATCATTTAATTCAGAAGGATTAATTAAAGTTGAAGTAGATTATAAAATGACAATGGCTTTAAAAACTACCAAATTTATTACATCTGATTACTGGTTTAAATTAAAATTAAGATCTATTTTATTATACTCTATATTTATATTCCTATTAATTTTGATGCCTGTTACATATAACATTTATATGTAAAAGTATGCTAATGATCTTAAACTTGAAATATCTTAAAATCCATTCCTTTTTGAAACTACAAGTCAATGGGTGTTTACTTTTTCTAAAGAACTGTATATTGAATCCTTTTATGATATTCATAACATAATCTCTCATGAATATTAAGAATATTTAGAATATTTTATTGTAGAAGCTTTAAATACAGATTCTAATAGTCTTTAATCAAGAGTATTATCAATTAATGATTACTTTTATTCAGATATTTGCTAATTATTAAATTCTTAGAATATAACTTATTGTTAGAATATTGCTGATGGTATATTAAAATAAGGTCTATAACAAACATATAATTTAATGGCCAATTTATTTGAAAGTTAATTAGATGAAAGCAAGACTAAGTTTACTGAAGTATCATTTGATTCAATCTATAATTTAAATTTAGTATTTATAAATAATTATTAGTTATAACCTTACATATTTGCAAGTAGAAAAGAGATGTGGAAAATTTGGATAAATAATTTTTAAGATATATTTTCTTATTTTGTAATAACAGAGACATAATTAATGTAAATTTTTAGATTTTAAATAGTATTTGTTTTTATATATTTTCATTTTTGATTTATTTTATTACTTTAGAATTGTACCATGAATAACAATTAAGACTTGATTATTAAAAAGCAAGAAATTATTATAAAAGATATTTCCCTAATAATATTTTAAATGAATAAAAGAGAATAAAAGCTGTTTTTAAGAAATTATCTCTAATTGGTTGATTATAAGATTGTGTGATAATATTAATATAGATATATATTATTAAATCATAATTATGACAATTATTATTCATTAAAAATAGACAATAGATATTACTAATTTAAATATATGATAATAATAATACCTATATATCTATAGACTCTTTGATTTCACTATTATTTAATTTGGATCTATTTTATGTTTATAATAACTGTTAAAAGTTTCCATTTGACATCATTGCAATATTTAATTTGACAACTAAAATATTATTAGAAACTGAAAGTTCAGCTTAACCAAATCTAAAAATAGAATCAAAACCTTCTAATTTAATATTAATTGACTAAATTAAATAAAGAATTATTACTTTTCTTTAATCTATTTCAGCCATTTCAAAACAAATATTATCTGTGAATTTTAAATAAGAAGCTATATGTTTGATTACTTTTGACAACATATCCCATTATAGACCTATATCTACACACATTTTAGGTGAGATAGCTAATAATATGAATATTATAAATACATTTTTTGGTTGCTTTTTCAAGTCCATTAGCTAATTTGTTGTAGTAACATTCAACAAATGATTAGAATTAAACATGATATCCTAATCTATCTTTAGTCATTTCATATAAATCCATAATAATTTAATCATCTTTAATTGATGATATAAATTCTTTATCTATTAAATATGTCCAATATTTAGTTGATGAATCTTCAATTATTTAGTTAAATAAAAAGGAATACTTTTCTCTTCTAATAAATTCATCTTTAGAGACAACTTAAATAATTATTTGATTAGTTATAGGAATCATAATAAGTTCTTTCTTATTTTTTCTCTTTGTTTAATAATTTGATATTAATTATTTTCCATTATATTAAATTGCATCTCCTTAAAATGTCTATGTATTAATTGCTATGCCAATATTCTCATGAGTTTCTTTGATTAATTATTAAATATTCTCATGAGAATATCCCTCAAATGTAAAATTTTCTATTTTTGGTAAAATATCATATTTAGTTTATTCATATACTTGTTAAATTAATTAATTTTTTGCATATTCAGTTCCTTTTTAAGAAGATAATATGGAAGGATAAATGAATTAAGTATCTAATATTTAATTAAAATTAAACTATTACCTTTGACCATTCCTAAAGGATATTTGATTTTCCAAGTATTATTTTCAGATTACTTAAATACAATAACTTTATGTTAAGCAACTTATTCACTAGCATACAATTCTGCTCTAATTTCAATATTTGCAGATTGTATTCCCCAAAAGTCAGTTGAAATATAATCATCTAATTTACTAAGTGTTTAAATTTCATAAATGATAACTTCTGCTTAATAACATACATGTAATAATGATTTTATTAAACATAACTAAAAATAGAATAAATAATATTATTACTCCTTAGAACCACTTATCAGATTGGAGTGCATGTGATACTTTTGTACTTTATCCTAATATCTAACCCCAAACATTATCTTGTAATGTAAAAGTATCATAGATTAGAGCATCTTTTATATCTTCCAAAAACTACTTTTCAGAACTAATCTAATTATTCATATCTCCAATAGGTTTAATTTAAATAAGTTATTAATATATTTAATTATTTAGTAATGATTAGATTAAGGAAAAGAAGAATACAAATGCTCTTTCTATTGTTTCAAAGTATTTCATTATACCTCTAAAAATATTAGTCACTTAAGAAGCAGATGGATCATCTCTTAATTCAAATGCCTATTTAAATTTGGTATGAACAACTTCTGAATGTTTATTTGGATTTAAAATCAATAATAGTAAACCACAAATAATGATATGTTATGGTTCATTCAAAGAATTATAGAATTTATCCAAATCATCATTTTTATCATACAATACTCTTAGTGAAAATACTAATTATTAATTTGTTGTGATAAATCTTATAAATTGATGTGGATCTTATAATAATAAGTATTCCTTTACAATATTATCACCATAAGGTAGATCAAAATCAAATTTAGCACTTCCAGGTTCATTTTATTCTGGATAATAGATTCTCAATAATTCATAAGCCTCTCTATTTTTGATTAATTATGTATATATTTTATCATGAGTTATTTAAGGATGTTTATCACAAAAGCTTTCAACCAATATGAATGAATTAGCTTTATCAACTTAATCTAAATGTAATTTCAACAAATAAATTAATGGTTGTTTTAATGGATCTATTTCTTAATTCATAATTATATTTATAATTGGATCACGACTATTTAATGGAAGACCAACCTTATTATACAAAGGAGCTAAATTTAAGCAGATTTCCAACTCTTTTAATTTTTCTTATCTGCATAAATGATATTTACAAATTCTATATAATCTTAATGCTGATTATTTATATAATTATTTATAATGTTCTTATTTTAATAAATTCTCCAATTATTATGGAGTCTAAAACAACCATCTCTAAGGTAAATTACTAATTGTAATATCTTTCAAATCTTATCGATCTATATTTATATTTAATTACAAGACTGTTTATATAACATCAAAGAATCCACAATTTATAGCTAATTAAAATACAGTCCAACTATTATTTTCATCTAATTTACAAACAGTAGCATTTAATATTTTTATCATAATATTTTTGTAATCTTATGGTAAAATCTTCTATAAATAATCCACAAAAAATTCTTTATAAAAAATATCATAATTCAATAAGAATATTGTAGTAAATAATGATCTCTTTTATTTATCTAATTAAAATGGTTCAGCAATATTATCTTGAATTAGTAATAATTTTAATATCTCTTTGCCATTAAATGTCAATTATTTCATTATCTTTCTCGTTATATATAATAATGTATCTTAAGATCCTTTTGCAATTGCTCTAGCCAATAAATTGCCTTCCAACATAAATTACTTTAATTCACTACTTTTTAGACTGCATAAATCTTCTAAACATAATTAAATTGTTTCTTAAGAACCACTTGAAAATGCAAATCCCAAATAAAATTACTTTTAATCATCATTTAACATTCCCTTAGGTTTTAATGAACTTAAAAAGTAATCCTTTAAATAATTAAATAAACCTTTTGTAATAAAGAATTCCAAAGCATTCTCATTTATCAAATTTATTCCTTGTTTAGCCAAATCTACAATATATCTCATATTTGATTCATTAAAAGGTAAAGCTTATTTAGCTTAATTATTACTAGAATTTAAATATTTCTATATAAAACCTAAAGTTCTTTTTTCTAATGTTTTGTATTTTAACAATAAACTTGCTAATTATTATGGTTATTATATTAAATTGAGAGTTTCAAATTCTTAAGTTGTAAAATTTTGATCCATCAGAATTAATACTTCACAAGCAAATTTACATTAAGTTGATAATGGATCACTTTTTGATAAGTAATTTGTTAATAATTAACTTTCTCTATTAAATGTATCAGGTTCATTTAAATCTTTGAATATTTTAGAATTTAAATATTTTTTTAAGAAATTAATACATCTTGATAAGACTTCATTAGATTATTCATATTTGAATAAATTGATCATTGATTTAAATGCTTAAACAATACAAATATTCTAATTTGGAGATTAGGATAACAATTCAGAAAATTTATCATGAACATGTACATAATTAAAGAAATCATCTGAAGGTGTCAATTTTAATAATAGTACTTTCTCAATTAATAATTCTATAGTTTTAACAAAATCAGATTCTTTTTATTTTGATGAATAAAAGACAGATCTAAAATTTTATCTTGGAAATAATCTTCTTAATTTATAAGAATATTCCTAGTACCATAATTATTAATATTGTTTAGATAGAATAGAGAATTCTGATTTAACTCTCTAATAACTATTGGCAGCATATTTATATATCAATTATAATTAGGTAGTCTTTATTAATAATGAATATATATACCAATGTTGTTTAAACCATTATCCATTTTTGAAAAACTGGTTTTGCTTTATCGAATGGTTTCTTAGGATCTGGCTTTGGCTTTTCTTTTTCTTTAGGAGGTTTAAAGAAATCAAGATTATCTTCAGGATAGAGCCTCTTAACATCACATTCTTATAATAATCTATTTAGATTTTCATAATAAAGTGCATTTCTAACTGTATTGATTTGATGAGCTGCTATTGGCAAAGCTTGAATAATATAATTTTAATTGGTCATTCTATCATGTATTAATTTAAGTTTATTGAATCTTCCATTCATAGCTAATATTAATATTACATAATTGACTTCATTTTATTGACAAATGTCTTTAATATCATTAATCATAACCTAAAATTATGGAAAATCTAATTCTATGCACCAATGTGTATTTAATGATTATAGGTATATTTATTGATTAGTCTTTAATTAAGCTACTCTTTAACTCTTATTCATTCTTAATTAAGCAAAGAATAATGCCATATGAGCAGCTGACATATTATTATGGTATAATGCCTTTAATAATATGTCTACAAAATTCAACATATCATGAAATTTAGAATCGTAAGCTTTTCTAAAGAGTTTACCAAAATTGAGATTCTTGGCAACCATTAAATCATTTACTACTCCTTAATATTTAAAGTTATTTTATAACATTCCCTCTGTAGATTATTATTCTTACATTAATTAATCCAAAACTTGCTAGTATTTTTATTAGGCAAGATTTTGATACATCTATTTTATTTTTTTTTTAGGACTATCATCTTCATCTTCCTTTTTTTTATTGATATCTTATATTCCCTTATATTTCTTTTATATATCATCTTTTAATTTAGTAGTTATTTCAGCTATTTAATAAATAGATTAGAATATAGGTAAGAAATCAAAAGTGTTATTTTTATCACCACTAAAATTATCATTATCTTTATATGTTATTTAAACATCTTTAGTTAGATATTGATAAATATATTGAGTTTAAGTAGTTTTGGCTATTGAAACCATTAATGTTTAATTATAATATGTTTCATATGGATAATTCTATTTACTACATAACCAATTTATCCAATCAAATTATTACCATATTAATTCTTATATTGATTCATCTAATTTACATAGAATCATAGCTGGAACTGTATGTTAATAATATAAATTATCCCATTCAATTATTTATTTATTTTTTTATTATTAAATTTAAAATGGTTTATTTAATTTCAATTTTTTGAAATCTTCAATGAAATTCTCTTTTTTAATATTTTAACAATACAATAAATATTTACTGAAATTGAAATGTTTAATAAAATTAATAGCAGATTAACTTAAAATTTCTAATACTTAAACACCTTTATTAGTATTTGTTTCTTATGCAGCTTTTAACTCTTTAATAATTCTACTTTTATGTTTTTTCTATTTATATACTAATCGATCTAAAAATAAAGCTAGAGGAGTAAATCCAATCCAAACCTTATCATTTAACATATTAAACTTATTAATACAAGCTTATAATGAATTAACTGATAAATCAGGATTCATTATTAAATAATGTAAAGATGTTTAACCACTTAATGAAGTTTAATTTTAAAGAGAATCTAAATTAAGAATTTAATCTAATGGAGCATTTTCTAAATACATCATCATTGGAGATATTCCTTAATGATCTTATTAATAAACAAATTATTCAAATTATTTATAAGATCTTGCAAATAAATTCCATCTCTTTCTTCTTACAATTTCATGAAAGATATTCTATTACAATTCTGGTAATTATAATAAATCAAATTTTTCTTAGGTTTCTACTTTTTTAGGTAGAATAGGAATTTTGAAATATGTTTCTTATTTTGCTTTTCTATATTATTCTTCCATAGATTTCATAAATGGTAATTCTGGATTTAAGAATTTTTTGCATAATTTTCTTAATTTTGATAATACTATCACATGTTAATAATCTTAAATATTAAATTCTAAAAGAAAAGGTGCTAAAATCTATGAATTTTCAGGATTTATAGCATATTAAGCAATGATCAACCCAATATTTGGATACATATTCAAAGCATTAATAAAATAAGCTAAAGCTTTTAAATAATGATTTTTTCTTAAACGTTATTTAATATTCTCAAATAAAGATTAAGCAAACATTTCTAATTGTACATCTTCATTTAAACCTAATTAATTAAAGAAATATAGTATTTCTGGTAATGAATCAGAATCAAACATATAATCAACTAAACACATCCCAAATTCATCTACTGTCAATAATAAAAGTTTAGCTGCTTCACAACCAAAATGAAATAATGCTGCTTCTATATCTGTTTTCTTAATTCTTCCCTATTTTGTAGTTTATCTTAATTAAAAAAGCATTTCCAAATAAGCAGAATCTGATAACTTCAATAGACCAAAGATTTAATTATCTAATTCTTATCTTAATCTCTTTATCCTACTTAAAGATTCTCTTCTTGTCATAATGTCTGTAGCATAAGTTAAAGTGCTTTCCATCTCTAATATTAATTATTATCAATAATTACATTTGATTCTCTCTTAAACTTCTTCAATATTTTATTTAACTTTTGATGTAATTTCCTTTTAGCATTCCAGAATCAATTAAATTATTATTTCTTCATCTTTACTACTTCCCCAATCAAATCCTTTTAATTTTGCTTCTTCTATTTGTTAATGTTTTTTTCTTTATTCTAAAGTTTTTGGAGATCCTGGAATATTTGATGATTTATCTATAATAAATTAATTTAGTACTTGATGGAACACTGGATGAACAAAATTGTATTATTTTCAAACTCACTTATCCAATTGATGCTGATTAATCATTATATACTTTAAACATTTCTTTTTATACAAATGTTTCTTTTATCATCTTTCCTTAATATTCTTAGACAACTTCAAAATCCACAAAATCTGAAACTGACAAATCTATTTCCCCAATATATTGTTCTTCATAATTCTTTACTTTTAATAATTTTAGTTTTAATGGATATTTGGCATTGGATTTAAACATAAAATCTACAATTCCATGACATGTTTTTGTATATTAATATGGAGTTGTCAAAATTAATGTCTTTCCTTGATATATTGCTTCCCATGAAAATTTTGGTGGAATCTGAATTACTCATAAATATACTTTGTTATTTGGTAAATCATATTTGTTATAGACACTCACATTTTAGATGAATAAAATGCATAGTAATTGATTTTTCTTAACTTTCTCTTCAATTTGCTAAAATAATATTCTGGATTGGCATTTCTCAAACTTTTATTATGTCAAGTCATTTAAACAATCCATAAATACATTATACTTATTTAATCTAATAGGAGAAAGTTTCTTTTTCAATGCTATTATTCAAAGTTAAATTTACTTGGTTACGAGACTCCTTAAACACCTTACAAGGATGTCTACTACAAAGGACGTTTTGATATTTGTCTTGATGTCTTTACTCGGAAATCATTAGATTTTGTTTACATACTTAATAAATATAATATAAAACTTAATCTTAATTAATATTTGTAATTAATTCATACTACTAATTATTATTAAGACTAATCATTATTGTATAAATATGTTTGTTTTATTAAAATACTTGATGTATAAATACAAAATTAATTGTAATTATTAAAATGAATTTACTCCAATTTTATTAATTAATCCAATAAATATTAATATCTATAAATATATATTTTTAATTATATGGATTATACTTTCATAAATGTAAATACCTTATATATAAATTTATGATATTTCCATAAATAATTATCTTAATCTTATTTGTATTTATATTTATATTTATATTTATATATATATTAATTAATATATAAAAATATCAATCATAATGTTTTTATAAATAGAAATTATATTATTAGTATTCTATTTATCCATTAATAAATTTAATTATGTTAAGTGTATTTTAAGTTTTAAAAAATGGAATATGTACTTAAAAGAAGAAAAAAGTAGTAGTAGAATAAAAGGTAGAAGCAAAAGAATCAGAATCAGAATCTGAAGAATAACCAAAAGTTGTTGAACATGATCTTAAAAGAGCAAGAAGAAAAGAAAGTTTAGATTAAATAGAACATGAAATGACCAAAAGAAGAACTTAAGAGATTTAATATAGAAACACACTTCTTAAAAAATTGAAAATTAAAATAAGTGGTGATAATATTAATACACCAATTTTAACTAATTTTTCAAAGATGAAGAATTATCTAAATTCAGATTTAATGAATTAATTAACTAAATGTGGTTATTAAAAGCCTACTCCAATATAAATGGTTGCTATTCCAATAATTTTATAAAAAAAGAATCTTATTGCAATTGCACCTACAGGATCTGGTAAAACTTGTGCTTTTGCATTACCTACTTTACATAATTTAGAAAATCATAAAGAAGGTGGACCAAGATGTTTAGTATTTGCACCTGCCTAAGAATTAGCTGATCAATTATATAAAGAATTTAATAAGTTTAATAAAGAATTAAAGATTAAACAGATTTAAGAAATGAATAGAGAGAAGTAAGCTTTTAAATAAGCATGGAATCATATTGATATACTTATTAGTTCTCCACTTAAGTTTCTAAAATTACATAAAGTAATTGACTTAAGTACTGTAGAATATGTAATAATGGATGAAGCTGATAAATACTTCGAATTAGGATTATTAGCTTAAGTAAAATAATTATTAAGAATATTGGAATCATTACAAATTACTTATATGTTCTTTAGTGCTACTTTACCAGAACCTGTTGAAGATATTTATAGAGATTTATTAATAGACCCTATAAAAATTATGATAGGAGGAAGAAATCATGTTTTAAGTAAAATTGATTAACAATTAAGATATGTATCAAATGAATATGGAAAAATTTAAGAAATTAGAAATTTAATAAATGAAGGTTAAATGACACCACCTGTCTTAGTATTTGTATAATCAAAAACAAGGGCTGAAGCCTTGATGTATGAGATTTAATAATTGAAAGTAATTAGAGTAAATTGTATACATGGAGATATGGAGAGTAAAACAAGACAAGAGATTGTTGAATAATTTCATAAGGGAACAATATGGATGCTTATATGTACTGATATGATGGCTAGAGGCATAGATTTTAAAGATGTTTAATTAGTTATTAATTATGATTTCCCATAATCAATGATTACTTATGTACATAGAGTAGGTAGAACAGGAAGAGCTGGAAAATAAGGGAAAGCCATTACATTATTTACAGATGAGGATAAATCTATGTTACGATCATTAGCAAATGTATTAAAAGTTTCAGGATGTTAAGTACCTGAATGGTTATTTGAATTATAGATTGCAAAAAAACAACTTAAAAAAAAGAGAGAACGTTTTCCTGTTAAAAGAGAAAATATAGAAGATTAATGATATATTTTTCATTTGTAAATTAAGTATATTAAGATAATAAAATATATTTAATAAATATTTGAATAACTTAATAATAATATATGCTGATTTTTAAATATATATATATATATTAAGATATCAAATATATCAATATAAATACTAATTAAATATTAAATATAGTATTATTGAATGAATTAGAAGAATTATAATTAGTTAATTTAGTTTAATAAATTATTTTTTAATAAAATGGTAAAAGAATAAAAACCAAGTAAATAATTTGTATTTATAAAAATAGAAATATACAGAACTGAAAATAAATTTGATACTTATATGACTAAGGATGCATTTTGTAAATTTATTTCAGATGAATTAATTGGTAAAGATGGATTGAAAGAGAATTTTAAATTTCAGAATTTTAAAGTATTTTTTGGTTTGTTTATGATTGCTAATGTAATTTATTCACATTATCATTTCATTCCTTATCCTTAAGATTACTATATATTGATTGCTTGCATTATATTGTAAATTTGATTATACACGTGTATTAGTTATTATGTATCTACATACATTTATTAATGGTTTGAGAAAGTAAAAGAAGGTGATATTTTTATACTTTATGATGTAATAATATAAAATTAATAGTTAGGATAAGAAAGCAAACAAGACTTTTGGATTTGGAGCATCTTAAGAATTATATTAGAGATTTGTTATATTAAGAATTTATAGTATGCCAAATAAAGCATTAGTAAATAGAAAATAGATTATTTAATTTAGTTAGTTGAGCGTAAAATTGATAGTGCTGATTATCTTGATGTGAAAGGTTACATTGTTCAACCAAAGATGAGAAGTCTTATAAATGAGTTGTTATAAGAAGCTAATAAGAAATGATCATTTATTATTATTGTTATAAGAATATTTATGTAAATAGGAAAATAATAATATAATTAGAAAATAAATATTCATGACTATTATTATTCTAATTACTATTGATTTGGATCTTCTTGCTTAAGAACTTCATTGTCACCTAATTCTCTTCTCTTTTGATTGTATTTATTAATATAACAATTCTAACATAATCCTTCTAATAGTTATTAAATAAATAAATATTACAAGCATATAATTTATCGTGTCCACAGATCCATGGTTTCTTTGTTCTACCATATTTGTGATAACAATTATTACACATACCCTTAGCATAATGTTCTTTTTCAGGGTGTCCACAATTATTGTTACGTTTACTTCTAAAACGATATTTACAAATAGATACATCTTTTTGGATTTTTGTACTACTTAGGCTTATTATGTTTATGATTACTGGACATTTTTCATTTGTGATGCCATAAGCTAATTATATTAGAAGTATATGTACTAAATTAGAGAAAATAGTATTTTAAAGCAAATTAAGTTATTCTTCTTTTTCTTTTGGTTATGGAATGGCATTCTTATTGTTGGACATCTGGAAATTGAGTCTAAACACTAAACTGGTTATGAATAGTCATACAATTAGCTCCTGCCAATAATTGGTTGATAATATTCATAAAGATTTGATGAAAAAATAATATTATTATTTCAAATCAATGTCACACACTTAATTAGTAGCATGAATCTAATTATAATAATTTATGATAAACTACTTTAAATTATCATATGAAACTAAGACACTCTAATTTTCACTCAATGCACTTTTTAAATATTATTCATAATCATATATATTGACCCAATATGTATAGATCTTGATGTATTTACATAAATTACTATATATTAATTTATATCTTGCTTTTATACATCTATTTAATATCGAACTTGATTTTCCTAATTTTATCTTATTATTTACTTTATTGTGATTAATTTTAATTATCTAATCTAATTCCAAAGTTTCTCTATGTTTTCTAATAATATTATAAACAATTTGTGAATAAATAATTTGCTTACTTTTCAACTAATGCTTTTAAGAATTCTTTCTCTTTTAAACTAATTTAATATTCCTCAATATTATTATAATAATAGAATGCATCCATTTAAGATAAATTTCTACATTCTTTTTTTTTTGTTCTTAAATATTATTTATAAAAATATTAGATCTTCCCTAATTCAATTACATGTAATTTTAAATATTGAATATAACTTTATTTATTATGTGTAGATACATTTTTCTTTAATTCTTAGATTCATTCCAATTATCTTTATAATGTATCCTGTATTTTAGAAATATTGAAATTTGGTAACAATTCAGAACTTAATATTTATTATTGAACCCAATATATTAAATCAAAAACATCTTGATTGATATCTCTATATACTAACTTAAAATTATTAAATAACTTATACCTATTATACAGAATTAAAAGGCAAGTCTTATGTTGGTATAAGAATAATTTTAATTACAAATTATATTTATATGATAGTCAGTAATTATACTTAACATTCTGAACTTTTACTTCAAATTCTTTAGTGTAATGCTAAATCAAATTATATTTAATAGTTGATATTTGAGTATAAATGATTAAAAAATCATTAAATTTTGTTTATTATTACATAATATTAATATTTATATTATTTATTCATAATATTATTAAGACATATCCTATATTTATTTAAAAAACAAAATATATTATGCAAAATCTTCAAAATTACTTAAAATAAGTTCAATAGATGCTTAAGATAAAAACATATCAAAAGATGTGGAATTATTGTAGTTAGTTTTATGAATTTGGAATATTACATCCTACTTTAAATATTCTGTTGGGAATTGAATTTAGTGCGTTAGCTACTACTCCAACTAAATTCATTTAACTATTAATGTCAAAACATTTATATTTATCTTAAAATTATCTAACTCCAATGCAAATGAAAGAATTTGATGATGCACTTGCAAAATGTGATGAGTTTGATCAAAGAAATTTAGGGTAAAATTTAAATATATAATATTATAGGACAGTTATTGGAATGATCTTATTTGGAACAATAGGATTTTTTATTTTTGGATTTGCTTTAGTAGGTGGAATTGGAGGTGGAGTTTTAGGAGTGTTTGGAGGTCATTAAGTAGGGAAGAGAATTAAAAAGACTTTATAAAATAAGTAGGATATTAAGGAGATTGATATATATGATATTAGAATAAGAACTATTTTAAAATGGGCATAATAATAATAAAAGAAATATAATTATAATCTAAATCTATAAAGATTTGTAACTGATAAAATCTTAACAGAAATAAAAGTGGCACTACATTTTAGATATTTCTCAATTATCAATTAAACCCAACTTTAGAAATTAATAAAAAAGGCTTTTGTATTTCTAAATCAAGATTTGTATTTATGTTCCATAGAATTAAGTTTATTATTATTAAAAGAATAATTAAAAATTTTAAAGTACTTTAATTTATAGGATTAAAATATATATCTTAATCAAGAAGAGACAAAACTAGTAAATCAATAATCTCATTATAGAAATTAATTAGAAATCTCTGTATTAAAAGGCATTGATAATCTTATAAAACCAGTTGTTACTTTATTTTCAAATTAAATGCCTGATCATAAATTACCTTAAATAATTAAAAAAGCTAAAGAGTTCATTTATTCTATTGAGATTGTTCAATTATCTAAGTAATTCCCTGATCCATAAATGAGTATCTATTTTATAAAAATGTTAAATGCTTAATTAAATTTAAGAGTAAATACTACTAGTTTAAAATTATATGTTTAATAATAAAATTTTAGAAATTTAGAAAATGTTGGTTAAGATATATAATGTTATATGTAGAAACAAAATACTATTTAAAATATATAATAAGAAGATGAAATTAAAATAAATATAGAATAAATATAAATTGAAGAATAATAATAGGATATGATTATTTAAAATAATGAATCATAAGTAGAATTAGAATAAATAATAATGGCAAAACCTTAATAAATTAAATTAAAATTACATTCTCATCCTAATAAAATATGTTTCTCAAAAATTGATTAGAAATTCAATTTTAATTCAACTCCATTTTAATCTTATGATGATATAATCAACAATTTAGATAAAGATAATTCATTATCTATATATCCTAAACATTATTGCCAAAAAACAATTGAAAAATTTGAATTATTTTTAAAATTGATACATGAATTTACTGATAAATGGGATTTAGCAATAAATAACAAGGATGCTCAAATTTATAAAACATTAAAGGAAGGCTCTGATAATGTATTTATTAAAGGATTTGGAATTATTAAAGATGTAAATAATTTAATTAATTTTGATAGACTACTCTTGAATTAGCATTAAAAGTAGTTTATGATATTTAATTAAGAAGAGAATGGTAATATTAATTATTAATTTAATAGGGATAAATTACTAAGAGATTTCTAGATTATTAAAACAGAATCTGAAGATATAGATATTGTATCTTATTATGTACAACCTCCAATTAGTCTAGTTACTCCTAGAGAATGGGTTTAGAGAAGAATTTTAAGATACGATTTCCCATAATAAGGTTAGATCACTTTACTATTTTATTCTATTGATTATCCTTAACATCCAATTAATAATAATAGAATTAGAGCACATACTGAAATATCTTCAATGATCTTTGAGGTTTTTGAATAAAAAAATGTGAAAATCTCGATTTGTTCGAATAATGATATTAAAGGATATATTCCAAAAATGATAGTAAATAGAGCAAGTGCTAGTGGACCTATAGATTGGTTTAAGAGTATGTAAGGAGCTTGCAATAAATATAAATGATTTTTCCATTATTTATTGATGAATATATATATATATTTATTAAGATATACAAAAATAGTTGAAGAATTAAATAATTGACATAATTAAAATTTAATATTAGTCAATGACAAAGGCAGAAAAAGCAGCTATAATGTTTGGATTAGGATCTACAGCTCTTTTGGCTATATATTCAATTGTTAAACCAAGAATAAGTCAAGGATCTAATACTGAAAGTTTAATTTAAAGAAGGAATGCTATTCTTAATAAAGATAATATGAGAGTGCTTTATAGTACAATGACATTCTTTTATTTACAGGGATATAAGAGGACAGGAGAAGACTTAGCATTATTAAAGGAAGTGTTGGATGTTGCTAAACCAAAATTAGTTGCATTATAAATATCAGAAAAACAATTAGAAGATGAATATAGACCTATACTTAGGAATCCACATTTACAGGAAATTATGAAGAAAGTAGATTATTATCTAAAAACAAATCCTGAGGAAGTGACAAAGATGAAAGAACTTGATTTCTATGCAGGATTAGAAAATATATATGCTATGCATTATTGTTAATAGAATAGCTGTAAAGTATAATATGTTTTAATTCTAGATAATACCAGCAGATGAACATCCGTCATTTTATGATTAATTATATACTTAGAAAATTGGATTAAAAGAAGTCACAAAAAGTGGAAAGGTTGAAATACCAGAAAACTTGAAATAATTATATTAATCATATGATATGAGTGATTTAGAAAAGACAGAGGAAGATATTAAGGAAGATATATATATCAAAAAAAGAGCAGATGTTTTTGTAGATAAAATTGTACATGAATTGACTCCAACATTTAATATAATTCCAGATGTTCCTTATAAAGTTTTAGTTGGAATTGTTGATCCTAAATTATAAAATATGATAGCTAAAGAATGGAAATAGAGATTTCTTAGCATTTATGGACATTAAATTTTAGAAGATGAATAACATAATCAATAATAATCATAGATTTAATGATTTATTTTATTAACTAAATATATATACAAATAATATTTCATATTAATGTAAATTAAATTATATATATATATATAATAGTAAAAAAGATAATACTTGATATTTGTTAAAAAAAAATCTATTTCTCTATATATTGTTAAAAGATATTAATAATAAATAATATTTCAATGTTATATTATAAATTCTTTAATATGATTATTAAAAATCTATATATTAATAAATATCTCTTATTTTTAATATTTTTATTATAATCTATTAATGATTGTCAATATTAGTATTTTTCCAACCATGCAACACTTATCAGTAGAATTGGAACCTGAAACAATTATTGAAGATCTTAAAGAGTTTTTATTCGAATACTGCAATTTAAAGTAATATTTTTTTTTTAGTTAAAAAGGTTTAAAAAAAATGGATGGAGTTGTTATTCATAAATAAGGAAATGCCTTTTGTAGCCTTATTAACAGTTGGGAAATTACCATCAGGATACTATAATATTTTATTTTGATGAAAGTTCTGAAAGCTAAGAAAAATAAGAAAGCTCAGAAAGCTCAGTAATCATAAACTTGGATGATTCATTAAAACTAGAAACTAATAAAAGTGTGAATCTTCATTAAAGTTCTTCTTATATAATATTTTCAAATTACTAAGAAAATATTATGTCAACTTAATCAATCATAAAACCTTTAGATGATAGCATTCAACACAATATGAATGAAAAAATTGAGGATTCTAATTTAGAAGATAAAAAGAATAATTATATCATTCATATTATTGTGCATTTTTATTCTCTTATGTTTGCTTTAGATTTAGACTAAAATTCTAAAATTCAAGAAATCTTTGATGAACTTTTTTATCATTATAATTAAAAACATAAAAATTTAAATATAAATGATAGAATTAATCAATTAGTTTGCCATTCATAAAAAAGAAATTGTTATTTAAAATTTGATGAAATAGTTGGAAATTATCCTAATGATGTTTTAACATTTAAAAATCTATAAGATCTTAATTAAAGCTCAGTAATATAATCAGATTATATTTTTTTAAAATAATTATTATCAATTTATGTCAAAGTGGATTAAAGAAACCTAGAGGTGATGGAAATTAATAAAAATACATAAATAAAAGATATTCTATCATCTATTAAGAATAAATACAAGTAAAAATATTTATAAATTTTAGAATATAAGAAAACTATGATAAATGGAGATGTTACTCAGAGGCTAGAAAATGTTATCTAAATATATAGTAATAATTTGGAGATTACCCAAATGATTAATTAATTATCTCAACAGAATATGAATTGTAATAGTATCAAATTTTATAACGGATAAAATAAATGAAGAACGAAATAAAAGATAAAATCAAATATATTAAAACTTCTATTTTAAAAGATTTAAATCAAATAGAAAAATAAATGACTAATTGTTTGAAGACTTAAAAAGAAACAATCTTAAAGTTATTTTCAGAAAACACATTAGTAACTACTTAGAAATTACGTGAATATATTCTGGAAAAAAAGAAAGAGAATATTAAGATTTATAGGAATACCTTGTAATTGTAAGAAATTACTTAAAAATGGAGAAATGAGTTTAATCAAATAGGATGTTAAAAAAAGGTGGAAAATTAAGAAGTCAATTTATTAATTAATAAATAAACTAGCGGAATAGAATTATTATAGTATCTTAAAGACTATTTTAGCAATTTATAGGTAAAAAATAAAACAGGAATTGATTTGCAATGCTATTCTGTAAAATATGAAAAAATAATTGATTTAGAAAATTAATTATTATTAGAAGTGCAATAAGATGATACTATTGTTATTGGAAATTTTTTAGTGATATTTAGATAGTCTGATGAAAATGATTTTGATTTGAATGTTCAGAAATTGTAATGAATATATAGGTAAATTATAATTCTATATTTCTAATATCATTATTTATTATTTGATATTCTCCTTAACAGTTTTAATCGTGTCCTTTTCTTTTTAATCTTCAAATTTTTAGCTTAATTATACGAATTTTTAAATTTATGAAATAATCGTTGATAAATATCATTATCTTTTATTATTATGATATCATTTTTTTTGATAAGTATTTTCTACTTATAATAAATTTCCATCCTTCAAAATTATTATAAAATGAAAATAAAATTGAAAAATAAAAATACTTAAATTTATAATTTATAAAATTCAACATAATAATTATGAAATCAATTTTCTTCCTTCATCACATAACAATTCATTTTCAGGATTATTGCAATCTTAAGTTTTAATTCTATTCAAAGTTTAGATAACTATATCTTTAAATTAAATCAATGTTGGATTGTTATTTTAAACCTATTTATAATAAATTATAATATTACTTCTTTTATAAACATTAAATGAGTTTCTTGGCTATCTTGGTATTCATGTGGAAGGGAATCTAAGAATTTATTAAGAAGTTATTCTTTTTAAGGAATATTGCAATACATAGCTACTTTACCTAAGGTTGTTAAAGCAGTTTCATATGATGCCACTTTATCAACATGCTTACAATCTGGTTATTCAATGATTGTTTAAGCTAATTCAATAATCTAAGTAGTATCAAGAGTTGGAAGTCTTTTTGCAATATTACCATAACCAAAGAGTAAATTTTATTTCATTTCTAGATCAGCTGTTTTCGAAAAAGTGGAATAACATTTTAAGATTTCATTTTGTGCTTATTAAAATACTGATTCATTGCAAAGAGGTAAAACAATATTGAAAAATGCAATAGAATTAATTGTCTATGATTTAGTTGATTTAGTATTTAAAAATGAGTAATAAGTTGGCATCATAGTTTAAATAGATTCACATTTATGATTAGATATTAATTCAGTTGCAATATTGGTAATGTGATCAAGTAATGAATCAATTTCTTCACAATCAGCTTCAAATTATTCTTCATCTTCATAAGTAATTGATTCTTTAGTTTTTACTATTGCAGTAAGAGCCTTATTACAAGTCTAATACATTGAATCAATAATAGTAGAATCTAAAATAGGTGCTTTGACTTAATTCAAACAATTAGCTAATACTTCTGCAATTTCAGCAGCTCTATCATAAGATTTACTATTTAGGAACATAGTGAATTCAGTAATGAGCATAGGAGTAACTTAAATAAGTACTTATGCCATATCTGTTTCAAGTGTACATGCAGCTATTAAATATTCTGAACATTTAGCCATAGATTTTTAGATTTATGAACTGTGTTTATAATTAATGAATTCTTTCATTAACACTATTGTTTTAGTTATGTATGGATAAAATGATTTACCACATTATTCAGCTAAATTAACAAGAGTATGAGCTCCTTCAACCTTTTATTCAAGAGCACTAGTATTAAGTGATAAGCTTTTCATTCCTAAGAATTTAAGATCTAACTTGACTTTAGTAATATTCTTTCCTTCAGCCTATGAATTGATTGAAAAACCAACATCTAATCTCATAGCTCTTTCAACTAATGGGAATATAGCATCTAAGTATTAACCAAATTCACATCTTAAAGCTGTAGCTACTTAGGTATAGAAGAAGAATATAGATGTATGAGCAGGATCATCTGATTCCATTTTATTTTATTATTAGATAAAATGTGTAACTAATTAATTAGAATCAGTTTTGCATTATTCTTTTCTTGTTGTACTAATAGATACTAAGAAACAACCAATGCATTCTAATAATAATGATTTTACTTCATTAACTGTAACTGTCTACATCATTTACATCATATATGGCATCATTTAATCATAATATTAAGTGAAATGTTCTTATAAACTTGTAGCTAAAGCACTGAATGCTGAAAGTGCTTATTCTAATATTTATTATTATTATTAATCTATTGAACCTGTTAAATTTGTTTGAATGACTGAGTATAATTATTCAATCAAAAAGGTTGATACTGGAGTCAATACATTCTTTGCTGCCTCTTTGTCTTCTACTAATTCTCTAGTAAAATCAACTAAACATGCAATAGAAATATATTGAATTTTTTATGAAATCTTTTGTTACATACATGTAACTATCAATTATAAAATCTATGATCCATAATTAATTTAAATCTTTGGTGTAAATTCTTAACAAAGTGATGCTAAACATGTTAATAAATCATAAATAATCAATTTATTTTATGATTAAGATAATGGTAATATTAATTCCATAATGCTAGGTAATTCATTCTAGAAATGTTCTGCTGCTTTATCTGATAATGTTGCCATAGCTATCAAACCAGCATGTTATTCNGTAACTTAAATAAGTACTTATGCCATATCTGTTTCAAGTGTACATGCAGCTATTAAATATTCTGAACACTTAGCCATAGATTTTTAGATTTATGAACTGTGTTTATAATTAATGAATTCTTTCATTAAAACTATTGTTTTAGTTATATATGGATAAAATGATTTACCACATTACTCAGCTAAATTAACAAGAGTATGAGCTCCTTCTACTTTTTATTCAAGAGCACTAGTATTGAGTGATAAGCTTTTCATTCCTAAGAATTTAAGATCTAACTTGACTTTAGTAATATTCTTTCCTTCAGCCTATGAATTGATTGAAAAACCAACATCTAATCTCATAGCTCTTTCAACTAATGGGAATATAGCATCTAAGTATTAACCAAATTCACATCTTAAAGCTGTAGCTACTTAGGTATAGAAGAAGAATATAGATGTATGAGCAGGATCATCTGATTCCATTTTATTTTATTATTAGATAAAATGTGTAACTAATTAATTAGAATCAGTTTTGCATTATTCTTTTCTTGTTGTACTAATAGATACTAAGAAACAACCAATACATTCTAATAATAATGATTTTACTTCATTAACTGTAACTGTCTACATCATTTACATCATATATGGCATCATTTAATCATAATATTAAGTGAAATGTTCTTATAAACTTGTAGCTAAAGCACTGAATGCTGAAAGTGCTTATTCTAATATTTATTATTATTATTAATCTATTGAACCTGTTAAATTTGTTTGAATAACTGAGTATAATTATTCAATCAAAAAGGTTGATACTGGAGTCAATACATTCTTTGCTGCCTCTTTGTCTTCTACTAATTCTCTAGTAAAATCAACTAAACATGCAATAGAAATATATTGAATTTTTTATGAAATCTTTTGTTACATACATGTAACTATCAATTATAAAATCTATGATCCATAATTAATTTAAATCTTTGGTGTAAATTCTTAACAAAGTGATGCTAAACATGTTAATAAATCATAAATAATCAATTTATTTTATGATTAAGATAATGGTAATATTAATTCCATAATGCTAGGTAATTCATTCTAGAAATGTTCTGCTGCTTTATCTGATAATGTTGCCATAGCTATCAAACCAGCATGTTATTCATTAATTACAGGTGATCTTAATGCTTACATAATAAGTGGAACAAAAATAGGTAACAAATATTTTACTCCCAAATCTCTAACCATTTTACCTAAACAATCTTCTGCAACACTTGATAAATCATTTAATTATAAACAATTATCATCAAAAGTATTTTCCCAATCTTTTCTATCTACTTCTGTTAACATCTTCATAATCATTAGATTAGATTATGTTTTAAATTACTCACTCTTTCTTATAAATGCTGGGGCTATTTAACATAATGTTTATAGACCATGAAGTGCTGCCTTTTTCAATGATACTGTTGACTATGATCCCAATAATTAAGTATAAATGTTCAATAATTCTCCATATAGATTTTTCATGAATTTAGGATGGTTTTCTAATAATTCATTTATTGATTATAATGCTTGTACTGATGCTTCTTAATCAACTTACATAACTTATGCAAATTATTATAATAACACTACTGCATTATTACTGAATCTATTCAATAATGATTCTTCTTCAATTGAAACTAAGAAACTACTTATTCCCTAACAAGTTGCTGCTCTTACTTATGGAGATTAATCATTCAAAAATGCTGAAAATATTTCATTCAATTATTAACTGTGTTTAATTAATTATTCATCACATAAAGCAAATTCACACATGATTTCTATATAGTACATTGTTGCTAACTTTTAATTTAAAGTTTAAGCACTTCTACCTATTTCAAAAAGTAACATAATCATTTCATCATATTTTGTGAACTTGAGTAATCCTTTTACCGCCAAATCACACATTCTCTTAAGATGAGATATTTTATTTTCTTATTTCAATTCACTAACACAAAATTTAAGAACAGCTTCAACATGACTCCATTCTAATTTACTAATATTCTCTTCATTTTCAAAAATAGTTTTAGATAATAATATAGATACAAATTCTGTGTCTTCTTTGTTTTACATTGCTATTAAAAACTATTCAAGGATTGCAATAGGATTTGCTGCAACTTAAGCATATAATTCCTATTCTGCTTATTGTCTAATAGTGTTGTCTGTAGATCTAAGATTTGTGAACATGATTATTATTTTATCATTTCCCGCAAACAAATTCTCTATTTAAATACAAAAAAATGCGCCAATTCATTATTTTAAAAAATGTCTAGTATTAATTTCACATTTATAAATACTAAAAAAAGATTTCTATATTAAGAACCTACTCTTTTTTATTAATAAATAAATAATCATTCAGCAAAAACTTATATATGAATTTCTTATTCTGAAAAATTTTTAATGTTAAATATTTATGAAATAACATCATTTTACTATCATTAAATTTTAAAGAAGATTTATGTAACAATCAAATTTCATTAAGATAACATACTTAATTATTAAATAGTTTTAATAAATTAATAAGTTAATAATAATTATTATTATTTTATTATTATATAAAAGAAATTAATCTTAGATCAAAAGTAACTACAAACCTATGTTATTATAGAGTATTAATATTCAATCAATAATATTTAGCTAAAGCATTTCTCTAATTTTATAAAGGGACATTGTATATATAGAAAAATAACACTTTTCTCTTATTTCTAAATATTCTTATACATTCAGAAGGCTACTATAAAAGGTTCTTAAATATATGTTGTAATATCAAAGATATTTAGGATATTATTGGATATAGATTTATTGATTGATATTTATCTTAGAATTTAATTTCTTTATTTTATTTATAAATTCTATTATCTTTATCTGAAATCATGTTTACATTTTCAACTTATATAAGAATATCAACTTTTTTTAATCATAATTTTCAGTCTTAAATTTATTGCATTGATTCCAAGTATAGATAAATTAATTAATAGTCTAACATTTATAGTGTCTTTTGTATGTAAACATAACAAATATTTTAGTAAAAAATGAGTAGTTCATCTTTATAAAAATCTTTCTTGAGGATCTTCTAATAAATATAGTTCATCAATTTTATATCTCCTTATTCTATGATTAGATTAAAGAATTCATTACCAATAGATTATTATTGTTAAAACAATATTTAGATATAATTATGAATAAAATGATTGATTAATAATAAAATAAAGTTAATCGAAATTCAAACAGATGTGAATAATATTATAATTCTTCATTCATCTTGATTTATTAGTTTATTAACTTATTATTGCATCAATTATGCTATTATTTTTAATTGATAATTAGGACAATGATTTGCTTCTTTTAATTACATCATTATATGCTTAATTGTATATTTTAATGGAAACAAAAGGAGGATTCCTATATTATAATCTTAATTTATACACATTTTCAGTTAATTGGCAATATTTTAAAACAAACTAAGCTATTTCTTCAAGAGATGAATCCTAATGAAAATATGCTTGAAGTTCTTATCTTGAATTTCCATTTGTTATAAATAGATAAATGGAAGATTAGTCTGATTATTCGCTTAAATCTGAAATTAATGAAAATTCATTATGCTATTCTATTGAATTACCAACTAATTCAGATTAGGGTTCTGTATTAATATACAATTTTTCATTCTATTATATTACAATCCTTTCATTATTATTCAAATATCTCTATCTTAGATCTGAATAACATGTCCATTCATCTATATTTGTAGTGATGCTTTAAATACAATTTAAAGTATTACATATAATTCTATTAGATAAATTAGAGAATTTCTTCAACTGTTAAAGTTTAATCTATCTCTAATTTTAGTTATATTTTTTACGGATTCACAATCAACTAGATTATACTATTCATATGAATTTATTTATTTATTATCCTAAATAAATGAAGTATTCGATTTATAAAGTATAATTTTAAATTAGATGATTGATGAAGTATGATAATAATAAGACATTGAAATAAAATCAAAGATATCTGATATGAGTAAATTTAATATGATATTTCATAATGTTATAAATTATTATTTACAATAAATATATTTGAATATAGATGAGTATGATAAATCTCATTGTTTTTATTCTCTTTCTTTGAATTTTGGTTTAATTGGTTTTTTTGGTCCAGATCTTTTAGAGATTGACTTAGTTATATATGATTATATATACCTCCATTGCTTACTTTTTAAATTCTTCTTCTTGAAACCACCTTTACTTCATATCATTTTCTTCTTCATTAAATGAAAGTACATCATCTGGACACTCTTATCTAAATTATGAAGCTTATGAATAATAATTCATTATGTTAGCATTTTCATATGCAATGATATTATTTAGATCGTCAACTTAAGAAGATAATCCATGTACTTCTCCTTTTTCTAATTTCAACTATTCTGCAATCAATCTAGCATATTCTTATATTGCATCTAATCCTTTTTATTCCAATATTCCTAAGAAATGTACCATATTTTCTTCAGTAATAGCAGCAGATTCTAAAAATATATAAATGGATTTATACTTAATTTTTTTATAGTTTCATCATCTACATCAATAGCTTAAAATACTTCTTCTAAATATTTTTTAATTAAATTTATTGTTTCAATTGATTTTTCATATTATGCTTTTAGTATAACTTTCTTTTTCTCTTCTTATTAAATTTTATTTGATAATGCCATTTTTTATTCTCTTCTTTAATTATCATTAGTAGCTCCTTTTGTTGAATACATTTATATTTCTTCTTTTTTTTCTTCAATTTATCTTTCTAATTCTTCAACTGTTTCTTATAATTCTTTAACAAATTATGACATAATTTAATTATTCTAATACAATTCAATAAAAACTGTTAATAGCTATTTACTTTCTCTTTCTTTCTTTTTATCATGTATTCCTGTTTCTTATTTAATTCTTTCAAAAGCATCTTTAATTTCTTATTCTTTTGAAGCACTTAACATATATTCTTTATCAATTTAAGCATTAGATGCTGATTTTTATCTAATAATTTCTTAATTTTCTGCAATTTATTTTTCTAATTTATCTAAATATTCTTATTCTTTCTTTTTGCTTTATATAAATGCTTTAAATTTCTTATCATGTTATATTTTCTCATTTAAAGATTCACATTCTAATTCAAATTCCTTTTTTTATGCTTCTGCCTTCTTTTATAATTTTGTTAATTCTTCTTCTGCTTTATTTCTATAATAATATGCTTATCCTGCAGATTTAATTGTTTCTTCTACATTCTTCTTTTTATCCTCTAATTCTTTTTCCAAATTTTTTGAAATTCTATAATTATAATTATATATAATTAATACTCTTCAACCATATTTTTTTCTTTTCTCAATTAATTAATTTTCTCTCTCAATTATTTATTATGAGCAACTATTTCATTCAATTTTTAATTTGCTTTTTCTAATTTATTTTCATGTACTGATATCTGATGCTGTTATGATTATAAGTTTTATTTAATTATTTATTATCCATTTTTTTCTTGTCTATATTCCTCAATTTTTTAATCTTATTGTTCTTTTTATCTTGTTTAAGCTGCTTTGATTTATTCATCTAAATTTTTCTATATAAATATTATTTCTAATCTTTACAGTTTCTGCTAATTCAGCTTCTATTTTTTGAATATATGTTTTCTCAACTGGAGATAAAACAAAATATTTGATTAATTACTATTCTTAACATATATCAAATACCACTAATTGATCACTACTCAATTATTTTACATCTTAATCTATCATCTATTTTATTTTTCCTAACAATTCTTAAAGTTCTTTTAATCTATCTTTATCTAAAATTGTAGCACCATAACGTTCCAATTCATTAAGTGGAGTAGTTTTTACCTCTTCTACAAGGCATTCAATAGTCAAATATTTAGGACCTAATTGAAAGGCTTTCTAAATATATTTCATAATGTTTTTATTCATCGAAGACATCCTAATACTTTTCATAAGTAATACATTAATATTTTTTTATATGTTCTTCTTTTTAGAGACTCAATATCTGACAGTTTCTCGCCTCCTTTAGAAACATCAAAAGACTTTTGAGTTTAATTCATATATTTATTTATATTCTAATTATACTTAAAATAAAAAATTATTGTTAATGCTCATTCTACCAATTATTTGAGTATTAGTTTGTTTAAACTAATGATCAAAATTTGATAAAATCTCAAATATAAATGGTTTCTTCTTATACATATTGAGAGTATACATTTCATTAAACAGATTCTTTGTTTTATATAATATTATATTGAATTATAAAATAATAATGTCTATTGTTTATATATTTTAAACTATTAAATAGATTAAATCTAAAAATAGCTAAATTTATAATTATATTTCTTGATTACAAACTAATTATACTTTATATGATGAGATTATTTAATAATACTAAATAGATTTTAATAAAGATAAAGTTCTAAAGACTCATAATAAAAATATACAGATTCAATTTTTAAAAAACTACTCTTATGAAATTCTAAGATAAATATTAAATTAATATAAAGCATTCTAATTAAGAAAATATTTAAATATATAACACTAATTTAATCGATTTTAAAATATATTAAATTATTTTGGATGTGATATATATTGAAAATTATGATAATTCTAAAAATTCAACATGTGTCAAAATTAAATATCATTAAAATATCATAAAGAATCTTAAGTTTTATGAATATTTATTTAAGAATTGTGTGAGTTTTTGTTTAATAAGATTTAATAAAGATTAGAACAACTCATATAGATTATACATAAGAGTATTATATCTATTTTATTTAATATTTAATTTAGATAACTTATTTCTTCTATAAATGGGTTGTGGCTCATCTAATGGTATTTAAGAACCTGCAAACAAAGGTATAAACAATGATTATACTTAATCAAGTTACTAAGATAGAGGACACTAAATTTGCTTATTAAGGATTTGTTACAGAGAAAAAAGGGAAAATCACTGCTGACTACAGTTTAATTTAACCATGCCTTGGAAAAGGTATTTAGAATATTAATTAATTTAAAGGGGCATTTGGAGAAGTTTATAGAGGAATACACAAAGTTACAAATTAAGTTAGAGCAATTAAATTGATTAGGAAGAAATTAATGACAGAAGAAGATTGTCTTATGTTAACTAGAGAAGTTGATATCTTAAAATAAT